GAGAGAATTTAGTAACACTACTTACCTCTCACTCTGTTTAGATTAGAGGAATCACTTTAAAAAGCAAAACATTGTGGAAAGAGTGAATGAAAATAGAGAAGAATGTTTTAGAACTCTCATGAAAACTCTTTAAATCTGGTAAAATGCCATACTTCCGGTAGGTAGTATGATAAAGATAAAAGATTGTTGTGAAATGTTCAGATTCCATCAGTCTTTATCCGTAAATAATATTTTGAGGGAAATATCTGTTTGATAATCGAAGGAAAACTACATCAAAATAGGTTTAAAATCTACAATCTTTTTTNGAGAGAGAGAGAGAGAGAGAGAAAGAGAGAGAGAGAGAGAGAGAGAGAGAGAGAGAGAGAGAGAGAGAGAGAGAGAGAGAGAGAGAGAGAGAGAGAGAGAAAGAAAGAAAGAAAGAAAGAAAGAAAGAAAGAAAGAAAGAAAGAAAGAGAGAGAGAGAGAGAGAGAGAGAGAGAGAGAGACACACAGAGAGACAGAGAGACAGAGATAACGGCTGTGAAAAGGTGCATTTTTATGGTAACTGTAGATTCCTTTTAAACTAAAATATATTGTCCCAGATGTCAACATATTTGGACTGTATATCTGGCAACGCTGACACAGTAGAAATAACGAAATTGAATTGTTTATGAAGAAGAGCAAAAGTGGGTTCAAGTAAAAAATATCAAAAGATATCTTTATCAAAATATTCGTATCTTAAGTCATATAGGAAACAGTCAAGAAGTTCTGGACTGCAGTATTGGCTATAATTAATTGACAGGCTTACCAAAATCATTGCATAATACACCTGGAACAAGAAATTTGTGACACTGAAAAGATGTTAAAGTTACCAAGAAGTGCTAGCCGCTGTGGAGTGGGTCGAGAACACAGGTGTTGTTCAAGCTAGTGATTGTTCCATACGCCGAGAACACAGGTGTTGTTAAAGCTAGTGATTGTTCCATACGCCGAGAACACAGGTGTTGTTCAAGCTAGTGATTGTTCCATACGTCGAGAACACAGTTGTTGTTAAAGCTAATGATTGTTCCATACGCCGAGAACACGTGTTGTTAAAGCTAATGATTGTTCCATACGCCGAGAACACAGGTGTTGTTCAATCTAATGATTGTTCCATACGCCGAGAACACAGGTGTTGTTAAAGCTAATGGTCGTTATCACCGCCACACCGACCTAAGCTTCAGAGAAAAGAAAGTCGTAGGGAACGCCACTCCAACGGCACACAAAAGCAAGATAACGGAAAATATGATAAGAAAGGAGAAAGAAGTGGCGGATGGTTCTTGAAGGCTGATAAGATGGTGCTTGTCCCCCTTCGGTCGCCAGCCGGTAGCAGGCATACGAGCACACATACATAAACATATATAAATTTGATTATTTATATACGAGTATATATATATATATATATATATATATATATATATATATATGTATATATATAA